GGACTTGGAAACATTTCAGTTGTGTTGCTGTCTATGCAGGGTCAGACAGCTCTCAGATTCCATCAAATATATCTTAATTTGTGTTCCGAAGATGAACGAAGGTCTTACGGGTTTGAAACGACACGAGGGTGAGTAATTAATGACAGAATTGTAATTTTTGGGTGAACTATCCCTTTAACAGTACTATTGTAGTAAATGGTTTAGATTTGCGAAAGAAAGAAAGAAAGCACACGCAAACTAGCTGCATAAAACTAAGTATTACAGAACTGTGCTATGTTGACATCTTGATTTTACCCGTGTTGACAAGTCACATGATGCAGACCTCAACATCAAACTCCCAAACTACTGCTGCCGTATGGTCTGTGCTTTGCAATTTACGACAGCCGAATTTTGTTTTGCGTCTAAACTCTGTTCAACTAACACAGTTTGAGGCCAGCCAGAATAATACCACACACTTTCATCATCATCGAGTAGGAGCACTAGCTCGATTAGCTAACGATGACTTTGATCTCACCCAACTGAGCAGCCGGACGATAGTCTGCGGTCGTTTCAGAAAGCCCCAGAAATCAAAGGCTCCACCGGCCAGCGAAGCACCGTAAGCACTCGTCTCCATGTCCGCGTTTGTGACACTGTAGCCCCTCTTTATTATTGGTCAGCGCTTCGGCAGACTGTCCAGCTTGATGATCTGCTATTTACTTTCACAATTGTTTCCTGAAAGTAGCGCAGCACCACCCATCAAGGAAGTACACGTCACGTCAGAACGAACACTTACAGGCAGTTATTATTATTATTATCAAACATAAACAGCCCCTGTTTTACACACGTCCTGCATGTCTGTCTGTCTGTCTATCTATCTATCTATCTCTGTCTCTGTCTGTCTCATATTAATAATTAATATAATACAGGCTGTCATTCTGTTGATCTAGTCCTCTATCAAAGCTACAAGTGGCTTCAGTAGTCAGCAGCTGTTTGATATATGCCATGGACATGCTTAAATATTTATGAGTGTAAAGACTTTTCCAGTGTTGTGCTGTTTGTTCGTGTGTAGTGTTGGTGTTTCATCACAGTTTGCACACAAGAGTTTACACAGCTTTAATCTAACTGCAGAAGTAGGCCTGTTGTTTGAGGGTTGACCACGTGGCCTCAATCTGTAGAGACTCGTTCACAGATTTTACACAAACTTTAAACACCGAAACACTTTTTCATTTATTTGTTTGTTTGTTGACCTTTTAATGATTCTCTCAGAACTCTGAAGTAAATGTGTAAGTACCGATGAATATAGTCCTCTAGGTGGCGCTATTCATCTACTTTTAATTCAAAGGTTCGCCCAGAAATGAATGTTCATTATTTGTTTACATAGCTGCTCATGTCTTTCAAACCTGAGTGCATTTCTTTAGTGGAACACAAAATACGATATTTAAAAAATGTCCAGTCAACATTGGACCCCACTGGCTTTCACTGTATGGAATATGTTGTGTTTCATAGAAGAAAGAAAGTCATACAGGTTCGGAAATGTACCTAACCCTGTTGAAAAAAACAGCATATGCTGGTTAGGTATGTTTTGATGCTGGTTTAAGCTGGTCCTTTGCTGGTTTATGCTGGTCCTTTTGCTGGTTTATGCTGGTTTATGCTGGTCCTTGGCCAGCACATGACCAGCATAAACCAGCAAAAGGACCAGCATAAACCAGCTTAAGCCAGCAAAGGACCAGTTTAAACCAGCAAAGGACCAGCATAAGCCAGCAAAGGACCAGCTTAAACCAGCATCCCAGCGTCAAAACATACCTAACCAGCATATGCTGGTTTTTTCAACAGGGTGATGATAGGAATTTCTTTTCATCTCTATCAATCGAGTTACTTCAATACAGTGGACCCAAAAAGTATTTGGACAATTAAGCCACAATTAAAAATGTGTGTTTTATATACATAATATAAAAAAAAGTGTCATTTGTTTTAAATAAATATAGCATAAGCACACTTTTCAATCAAAACATCTCACAAAATGAAGTTTGTTAGGTTACGAAATCCACTGTCCTGCATTCAGAAACAGATGCAAAGTTGAGTTGCACAAAACTGTGAGTAAATGGCTCCATTCCAGACCTTGCTGCATGTTTGCGGTGTAGATGGAGACGATTCTGACAGACACAGAGGATTTCATTCAATAGCAAATGATGCAAGATACATGTTTTAAATCAGCTTTGCTGCAGATGTTAAAATAGGTGACACATCCACTTACACCTAACTCATGCAGCTGACAAATGTATCTAATGTGTTGTCAAAAGGTGTGATGAAGATATGACACGGTCATGAGGTTTTAAAAGTTTGCTGCCGATACAAGTAAATGTTCTTCACTGTACCGTATGACTGAATCTGTTATAGCTGACTTTTTCAGATGAAGGCCGAGTTACAGTAATTCGTCAGTCTCTCTACCACGGTAAGGCCTCTGTTTACAATATCACATACTGTACCATACTGTAATGTAAAATACCTGTCTCCCACCTGACGCATCTCGGTCTGTTGGACGCTGTCATTGATTGTTTGTTTCCTGTGCTCTGTCCTGCTCTATTTCCACAAATGAGAAATATTAGCAGTTTTGGAAATTGCAGACCAGTTGCTGCGAATGTGAAGTTTATATGGATGAAACACTAGGGGAGAGCGGGGCACAAAGTAACACTTTTTGACTTTCTCAGTTTGTGTAAATCCACATGGGGTTCAGAATATAATTTTTTTTTATCCACAGTAATTTTACACTTGTCTAGTACAAATATGTCGCTTTGTTTCATGATTACAGTGTATACGTTTTTCTTTATTTACCCTCAAATTTTTCAAATAAAATGATGGCGTTTTTGAAGAATTAAAAATAATCTGATTTTGGAGTTTGACAATGAACACATTATGCATCCATGCTTGGGACGGCAAAATAAACCAGCAAAAATGCTTTACATGTCTTGATATAATAATTTCTAAACATTAAACATTGACTGTCAGTCTTTATTCACCTGTTTCTCGTTGTTTCTCATTCAAAGTAAATAGCGTATATTACATCGCTAATGTCATAGATAGAATAGCACATTGTAACGCAGTGTTACATCGTGCCCCATCCGCGCAACTGGAATTTAAAACTGGTTAGTGTCTTCTGCTCAGTGTTGCCAACTAATTTTCAGAGAAAGTTGCTAAAGGAAGGTCGATTTCTTGCTAAAAGTTGCTAAATGACATTGTGATGTCATTGCGCGATGAAGTCATTGCGTAATCACGACGCAAAATTGTTTCAACATCAAATCTCAGCAAAAATATATATTTTATACATGTTAATTTAGATTTGTTTGTAAAATAATATGCATAATATTAAAATATAAATAACTGTATTTTAAAATACATTGAATTATTGAACACCTACACATTTTTGAATGATTACAGTTTAAGTGTTTTAATAGCTAGTAAACTAGTAATACTACACATTCTCAACAATTATGCTTTAAGCAGTGTATTAGTAGTTAGTTAGTATGCTACACTCTAAGAAAAGTCTGTAAAAATAGGGCACAATTTAGTACTATGTTAATATGAAAGAATTTTCCGTATTGGTTTTTTACCTGCATTTTATATTATGCATTGTGTTTTCGGGGTAACAGGGTTACAATGGATAATGTCCTGGAAAATTACAAGTATCTTTTCCATTTTTCTTACAGCGTACTAACTGATCAACAGTCGCAAGTACAAGCTACTAACAAAGTGTATCAAATTAACAATTATTCAATTATTATTAATAAATTGAACAATTGCAAATAGCAGCTAACCCAATTCACGTGCTATGTGTTACACGTGATGTGTGTACTGCTAGGCATCTTTGGTTTCCTTTTTTGTGTGTCATTTGGATGGAAAATGTGTGCCTTTTTATTGTCTGACTCACTTATCAAAAGTTGCCAAATACATTTTAAAAATTGCTAAATTTGTTGCTGGGTGCTTTTGGAAGAAAAAGTTGCTAGGGTAGTGTGAAAAGTTGCTAAATTTAGCAACAAAATTGCTAAGTTGGCAACACTGCTTCTGCTAGTTATCAAAGCATTAAAAAACTATCTAAACTGATAAATAACAGATTGGAGATTAAAATAATAGCAGATTTGTCTCATTTTAAATGAATAAAAACGGAGAATTTAAATTTTTACTATGGTAAAATAAATGTTCAGCGATATCTTCAAAGGATTTTTGAATTTTGGCGCAGTTTTTTTTCTATATAATGTTGATATGGTAACTAATAAATACTGTAAATTTTGTTATGCTAGCATGTGTGGAAATATTCAAACCATGTGTGTTACAACTAACCCCGCGTTACTTTGTGCCCTACACTCCCCTATTGTGTGTAGTAAAAAGGATACCTTTGTGATTTTGTGTTTTCTACTAATTGAAATAATACTGAAATGTTTACATTTTTTAATATATTTGATGGTCTGTTGTGAGATTAGTACTTAGAGTGTTGTTTGTAAAAAAATTTTAAAAAAAATTCGCAAGACGTCAGCCCGTTCTTGTTTCTTCCTCCCAGCATAGTGACTGTGGTTTTTCACTTTGTATGCAGTCTGTCAACGGTGCAATTGTTTCTGCTGACTGCTAAAGTACCCGTCACTGTTTCTTCATACGAAAGCTTTGTCCAGAGTATTTTCTTCTTAGACTGTGCTGGAAACTTTGCGTAGCAGCAGCTGTTTAGGTGAGTATGGTAATTGGTGGTACTTTATCAGTACAGCTGTCAGACGTCTGCTTTTTCTGTTTAAGATGAGTGTTGTTGTTGAATGAATAACATGGGTTGATAGAAAAACTCAAATGAGCTCTGAAAATCTACTGTGATAGACAGTATAGAGCTGAATACCCTCGTGAAAAAGAAGTACACTTTAGCATACTTTTTAAAAGAGTATGTACTATGGAAATAATATACTTTAATAGAAAATATAGCCTACTTAAACATGAACTGAATGTGATGTTAAACACATTTAAATATAATCAAGTACTTAACGTGTTACTATGTTAGTCAACACAAAACAATAAGTACTTGATTCATAATGATTTGAAGTGTATTTTAAAGGGGTCATATGATGCGATTTAAATTTTTCCTTTCTCTTTGGAGTGTTACAAGCTCTTGGTGCATAAAGAAGATCTGTAAAGTTGCAAAGACTAAAGTCTCAAATCCAAAGAGATATTTTTTATAAAAGTTAAGCGTCAACCACGCCTACCTAAAACGGCTCGTTCTAACACGCCCCCACATGTCTACGTCACGATGAGGGAAGATTTGCATAACTCCGCCCGAATGTTCACGCAAAGAAAAAAGGCGTAACTTTTATTCTCGCTGTAGTATTGTTGTTGCCGCCGCCGCCATGTCGTTTAATTTGACATTATTACACAGAGCACTTTCTACAAGTGTACTAAGTATGTTGAGAAACACAGTCATTAAAGTGTGCTGATTTTAAGAACACTTTTATTTCATTAATATTGCATTGTCTTTAGGTACAGTTTTAATTAATTAATTTATTCATTTTTAAATATACTGTTAAGAGTTGAAGTACGCTACAAGTGCACATTTATACAATTAAGCACACTTCTTTTTGTTTTACAAGAGTAGTTTAACGTAAGGAATGGATTATTTAAATAAAGTATTTAAAATATTTTTTAAGGGAACGTTTATGTTATGGCATCTTTTGATGTTGATTTTGACATAAATGAATGACACACTTTTTGTTTTTATGGTTACTTTATGTGGTTTGCAACATAAGCTAAGTTTCTCTGGAAAATAAATCCCAGGCACATATTGCCTCATAATACGAAAGTTAATTTCTGATGCTGCTTATGACCAGCATTTTCTGCTCTGATGCACACAGCTCTGGACAGTCTGGATGGCTGCATCCCAGTTCATGGAGACGATTTCCAGTGAAGATGAAGACCAAGACCTGATTGAGCTGGAAGCTATTAGGAGGCCATACAGAGCAGTCAAATGTGGGTACACAGCATACAGACAGCCTGACGTAAATCCCATAGGATAGAAATAACTTATTTTAACTCTAACTTCTATTTTTTTCTGTTTGTAGTTGATCTGACACATGCAAATCAAGAAGACTTAGAAGCACAGCATTACCATGAGCCCAAACACACCAATGCCCTGCACAGGAATAACTGGTCCTCTTCAACCCAGAGGGTCCTGTCTTCCATGCCTAGTCGCTCTATCAGTAAGAGAATGTTTTGATGCTGTTTTTCATATCGATTTTACAATTAATAAAATCATAGCTTTTTTTTACTGAAATATGCTCTTGTGGCTGTAACAATAGATCCGAACTTACAAATATTTGCATTTTATTGTATCAGATAACAAAATAATAGTATATGCAAACAAACCCTTCTGAAAAAGAAGTATACTTTATACTTGCTTATTACAGAAATAATATACTTTGAAAGAATATATTTAAGTGTGATATGAGTGTAATGTTTTTGGACTCTTATTGCATGTTATTTACAATTAAATGAAAATTTGTTTAAATTGATATTAAATGCAGTTAGCTGAACTTAAAAGTGCTTTTTTGACCCATGCATTTAAGTATACTTAAGAACATTTTTATATGTGATTTCATAATTAATTCTGTTGTTTTTGAAATATGGTTAAAGTGTACTGCTGAATGTACAGACAAGCATTTAAACTAAAATATACTTTAATGTACTTTCAAATACATTTGTAATTACACATGATGAACAACGTACAAACGATGAGAAATGATGAAGATGCAATTTACTTTAAATGTAATATTGACTTGCACACCATGCAATTATAATCCAGTACTTTACATGTGCAACACGTTAAAGTAAGTATACTTCTTTAAAGCATGACAAAATATTATTCAAACATAATGATCTAAAATGTATTTTAAAGTAAAACTTGACATTTTTACAATATAATATAAAAGTTTGACTTCATTACAAAGTACACTTTTTTAAAATGAACTTATTGTGTTAAGAAACCATCATGAAAATGTTTTCTCATTAAGTACACTTACTGTAAGTGGCCTTTTCTTTAATATTATTTGCAAGTACAATTTTTTAAATTAAAATATACTTTTAAAATTTGAAGTACACTCTAAAAAATCTGTAAAAATAGGGCACAAAGTACCATGTTAGTTTGAAGGAATTTTCTATTGTATTTATTTTTTACAGGTGTTTTACCTGTATTTTGAATTTTCCACTGCATTTCATTGTGTTTTAGAGTTTTTAGAGAAATGCCGGTACAATTAATGGATAATGTCCCGGTAATGAGCTGCCAGTACTTTTACTGTTATTTCTTACAGTGTACACTACTAAGTGCTCATTCAATACAATTAAGTTCTAGAAATTTCCTCTGAACTGACTTTTGCATTTCTGTTTAATCAGTTGATGTTTTGGTGATTTTAAGTGGTTGTTCAAAGTCAGTTCTTCTCAAGTTCACACGTAGCAGAGGAATCACATTAACCATCAACATCATCCACTAATATTTGACAGCCACAAAATGTCCACATGTCTTTTGTGTTTGTATTTATTTATTTTTTCATTTACACATTAATCTACACTTTATATTTTACGGTACTTGTAGTTTGTTACTTGTAATACAGTCTTCTCCACTAACAATCTCCAGTTTCCGGTGTAATGTGTTACATTTATTATGCTTTTTTGCTTTGTCTTTCCTCAGGATTTAATCAGTCGACTGCGCTCTCCCGATCCACAGAGACGCGTAGAAGACGACCTCTTAGCATTGTGTCCACCGCTCGCTGCACTACAGAGCAGGATGTCTTCAGAGAACAGGACGACTGCAAGAATGATGGTTTGCAGCAGTAAAACGCTCACAATGCCAACTATCTGAAGCAATCAGGGCTCATATTATGAGGAATCGAATTTTTCTTGATCTTTAAAGATAAAAGCATTTGATGTACTGTGAAGCATACTATAACTCTTAGAACTTCCTCCTCAGTGAAAAAGAAAGTTTACTGAAACTAAACTGCAACAACGACTCGTTCTATACTTCTCCAATTTAAATTCACACTTATTTACATAAAAGTCTTAAAGGCACAGCAATAAGAAACAGGCTGTTTATGGTGGAAATGGTGTTTAGATGCAGAAATCTTTATTAACATTAGAAGTGGACCTCTGACACTTTGTTTCTGTGTTCTGGTTCTAGTGACCCAACAGGAAGAGCTGCTAAACAAACTACAAGGTTTGTCTGCTGGTGAATGTGTGCGTGTGTTGCGTGAAATGCCCCTTAGTGTCTCTGAGAAGCGTCAGATCAGGTGACTTTTAGACGTACATCTTTTAAAAATTATATCACCTGAGTGCAATAATTCATTTGTTCTTTGTGTCAAAATGGTTCATTTCATTTTCATTCATCTCAGTCTTTGCGTAATCTTATCTAAATGTGTCTTTTCAGAGCTCTGGTCTTCTGTTGGGAGGCTGGGCAGCCTCTCTCTGCTAACAGAGCCCTGTGCTGTCATCAGTTTAAAACTTGGTTCTTGAAGGTGAATGTCTTCTTGCATTTAAGATTTAAACACTAACCTGTGTTGTTTAATTTTATTCTATAATAGATGAAAAAAAAAAGTATAAATATATAAATGAAATCATAGGTTAAAGTACTAATAAAAATCCACAAGAAATGATAACATGATTGCAGATTTAGCATAGATTAATTATATTTAATTATTAATTTTTATTAATTTTTTTTACAAATTACCATTGAAAAGTGGCATTTTTTTAATATTCCTAATGTAGATTTCCAGAGTTTAACACTGAAAACAACAGTTCTTGATTCATTAACCTGTAGTGGTTAAACGGATCGTAGTTGATCCGTGATCCGTACGGACCAAGCCCCACGGTTCGACATGCATGTGATCCGCGGATTAATTGCAAAATTAAGATGATTTACACATAAGTTTATCATTTGTTCGTATTTAGACAAGCAAGCGAATTTGAAACAATTCCAGAGAGAAAAGGCGAAAGGGAACTCGATTCGTTACTCGCGCAGCCGCACACACATACAGCCGCACACACATGAAGTGCGCATTTCAGACGGCGCGCGAACACCGAACGGAATCCTCTTCTGAATCCTCTAAACAGACACATACGCATAAAATTATGACAAAATACCCATCTCAACAATCATTCAGGTAAACACAGTCAGTTATGTCTCAAGTGAATGAAAACAGCTGAGAAAGAAATCGGATGTGATGTGTATCATTATATCGGATCCGTGCATCAGGTCTTAAAGGGACAGCGGCCTATAAATACTGCTGCTGTCATTAATGATCATCAAACAACAAAACAGCTGTGATAAAAATCTATATTTAATTTATACAGTGAACACTATGCAGTGTTATTTTCCCTAATTATTACATTTCTGTATTTGAATACTACCAACCTTATTTTATTTGTAACATATTCTGTTGTATTTACCTATGCTTGTAATTTGTGTATTTGTTCTTATTTTTACTGCCTGTTCTCTTGTCGCTTTAATCATGTTTAAACTTTCCTAGTTAATCTAGTAGTATTTACTGTGGTATCAAATAAGTACTTTGCTTTAAGTAATAAATGGAAAGCAAGTTAAATGGAAATATTTTTCATTTCTTGCTGATCCGAAAAATGATCCGATCTGGTGTTATTAATGATCATCAAACAGCAAAACAGCTGTGATAAAAATATATATTTAATTTATACAGTGAACACTATGCAGTGTTATTTTCCCTAATTATTACATTTCTGTATTTGAATACTAGCAAACTTATTTTATTTGTAACATATTCTGTTGTATTTATCTATGCTTGTAATTTGTGTATTTGTTCTTATTTTTACTGGCTGTTCTCTTGTCACTTTAATCATGTTTAAACTTTCTTAGTTAATCTAATAGTATTTGCTGTGGTATCAAAGAAGTACTTTGGTTTAAGTAATAAATGGAAAGCAAGTTAAATTGAAATATTTTTCTTTTCTTGCTGATCCGAAAAATGATCCGATCCGTGGGTCAAAAACCGTAATGTGATCCGAACTGTGAGATTTGTGATCCGTTGAACCACTATTAACCTGTATGCACTCTTGTTTTTGATGCATAGGTTTTGTGTGGTTGGTGCTATGGTAGAGTCTCCCAGCAGAAATCCATACAGCTCTGGCAGGGAGTGCTCAAAAACATCAGCGCTCACTTCGGCACCGGGGTTCTGTCTTATTTCATCTTCCTCAGAAGACTGTTACATTTCAACATCCTCCTCTTCCTCATCAATGGCCTTTTCCTGATCCTACCACAAATCTCAAATCCCCCATCGCCAAAAAACAAACACACAACCACAGCTGACCTCTGGATGCTTACTGGCATGGTAAGGGTGATAATATATGTATATTTTTTAAAAAGTAGGTGCTTTATATTAGGGTTTCCAGTCCCTGGAAATTTAAGATGACCCATATTTATATTACATTGACTCTTTAGTGAACGCTATGGTTTTTTGTTCCGCAACAGGGCGTCCTCACAGACTCTGTGATGTTTTATGGCCACTATGCCAACTCCACCAATGAAAACTGCCAAGCTGAAACTAAACTGTGTCCAGAAAATTACAACATACCACTGGCATATATTTTTACTATTGGAGCAGGCATGTTTATCACATGTGTACTGCTTGTTTACAGGTTTGTCTATTTTCCTTATATACTGTGAAAATTAAATTTCCCATCATTAGCTTGCCCTGGGATTAAGTCAGATTTTGTTTATCCTTTCAGTATGTCTAAATCATTCGGAAAGAGTTTCCGCGTATTCAAGACTACTGGTAACCTTGCTTTAAAGGTTTTCTGCTCTTGGGATTTTAAAGTCAGCAAGAAACGGTCCGTTAAACTGCAGTCGGTGAACATCTGCACTCAGCTGAAGGTTTGTCTCAATATGACTATTCATGTTAAAATCAATTTATGCTCCAGAGAGCACTAATAATTGCATTGAAAAATGTCGTACACAAGCATGTTGGGATATTTGAAGACATGTTATGCACATTAAAGTCAGGTACAATTTTATGGTTGAGGTCAAACATGTGATATGAATATAAAAATGCAGAAGGTTTGTAATGCAAATTTTTAAGGTTTAAATAGCATATGAAACTAACACGAGGTTAAAGAGTGTCCCTGTGGCTCAGTGGTAGAGCATTGCATTAGCAGCGCAAAAGGTCGTGGGTTCAATTCCCAGGGAACACACATACTGGTAAAAAATGTATAGCCTGAATGCACTGTAAGTCGCAAGCGTCTGCTAAATGCATAAATTTAAATTTTTCAATTTAAAGAAATATAGCTGCAGGCCGAAAAAAGGGGATGAAAGGGTGGAGAAACTCAAAAAGTACAACTCTAAAAGGACAGAAATTAAACTTCACTTGTCCACGTTCCGCTCACATAATTTTCACAGCCTGCAGCTCAATTTTTCTCACATGCGTGAGTGATTTGAACACTCAAAAACAAAGGTCCACTGAGTAGTGTGCAAGATCTGAATGCGTCCATTCATGCTCACTGTCAGTTAGGGCTGTGCAATTAATCTCATGCGATTGTCATGCGCATCTCGTCAGTAAAGCCGGTTCTGTGATTAGTAGTAAATCGTCATCACCTGCTTTCAGATGGAGCGGCATTTACTACACAGAGCCGTAGTTCACTGACAAGCTAGGCAGTATCGCGTTCAGATGAATCGCATTCGATTATAAACGCGATATTGCCTAATTGTCTAATTTACTCTGTGTAGTAAATGCCGCTCCATCTGAAAGCAGGTGCTGGAGATTTACTGCTAATCACGGAACCGGCTTTACTGACGAGATGCGCATGACAATCGCATGCAATTAATTGCACAGCCCTACTGTCAGTTGAATGGTTTATGCAATGTACTGTGCAACTTGGAGCTATATAATTCTCAAGCCATGGCTCTCACAGACTGGTCAACCCAGAAACCAACCAGAGTGTTGGAAAACCCAGCAGCAATGTGTGTCATTTGGAAACACTTAGGAATACTGTTCTGTCATTAATGAGTAACTAGACAGGAGCAAATGGGTTAGACAATTTTAACATTCTAGTAACCACTATTAACAAGGATCTCAGATTAATGAATTAAAGTACACAATTGATTGCAGTAGTTTTTCATTCCTCCCAGAGAACTACTAAGAAACTATATATAGTTTCAAATAATCAATAACTAATGCAGAACAAATTAACACTTTAACCACTACTTTAGCATTTACTTATCATCGCATAATCAATAGGTAATAACAGACTTAAGATTATGGTAAGTTGTTAATAATTACTACATTTTATCATTCCTTTTACAGAGCTTACAATGTTTACAATGGAAAATTGAAAAAAGGAAATGGCTTTTTAAAATCAGTTTTCTGGATCGTACTCCTGTTGCCAATTTTCTGGCATCCTCTGATCCTTATTTGTATTCATTTTATTTCTTACACATAGTACTACATCCTAACACAGCATTCTAAAGTGAATATCATGGTTACCCACTGATAATGACTCCTACTTTACCCATCAGAAGGAATTATATCCAAAACCTTATGAAACACATCAAAAGCTTACAATGACTTCATTCATTTCTAGGGAGTTATCATGCTTTTCACCAAAGTATACTTCGTTTCGGCAACAGACATGTTCGTCGGGTTTTGTCTGATCGGTTTATTGCCCCTGTTGGCATTGGTCAGGCTTGTTTTTGTCAATGTTGAATCAGCATTTGTCGGGTCTTGGAATGTCTGAGAAGTAACGTATTCGGTCGGCTGTCAGAATACTGTTCTAAATTTTTATTAAAGAGTTGGTAATAATTCAGTCATTACTAGTAGGTTGCCATGCTATTCATTTTATAACTAATTACGTATTAACATTAATTATGAAACATATAGTTTCCAGGGGCATGTTTAGAGTTTTGGGGGCACTAAGCAAGCGGTCACTGGGGGGCCCCCCTCGGTTGAAATTGTGTTCCGGGAGGTATGGAGAAAAAAAAAACAGTAGCTAATGATATTACTTTCCAATTTACTAATCAAAGTTTCTTGTCAGTTAATAGTAGTTAGAATGTTAATATTGTGTTACTCATTTTCTCCTGTGTAGTTATTCATTAATAACGGAACAGTGTAACCATAATTAGTTTGATGTTAAAATACTTCCTCCAAGCCCACTGCGTAAGCCATTCATTGGTAGACTTTCTGAAAAGTGTAAACACTCTGTAGCACTTTGAACACTGTTTTTAGACTGATTTAGCAACATCAGTAAAACCACCGCTGTGAAAGTCTGAAGAAGGATGACCTGTTTGTCCAACCAAGGGAAGACAGGGACAATTCTGTTTGGTCACACTGAAGCAGAAATGACACACTTTAACAATACGTAACATCACAGGTAATGTTTTGTTGACTTTTACAATGAAGCTTGGATTTGAGTCAATGTTTGTGTTTTAGGAGATGCTGTCTGAGCTCAGCTGCAGAAAACCGAAGAGGAACTTGTGTTCAACTTTGTGCTGGTTGAGTCTACACTTTCTTGTATGGTCCATTTGCCTCTTTTGCATAGCTGCCTGCATGCTGGCTGTTTACTACTTACACCCTTACATTGACCAGGGCAGTTCCAAGGTAAGGGTCATAGTCTTGAATAGACAACAGGAAGGCAACAGGATGCCTAACACTTAAGAAATCACACAATTCATGATAGAAAACACTAGTCACATCCTGTTCAGTTCACACACCAGTTACTTTTGCTGCCTCATTAAAATGCAAACAGCTTTATTTTCAACAACTGCATTTTCTGGTTGACTGTTTTCTTTAGATTTCACAGTATACTCCACATCTTGAAAAATATTGTCTGTTGGGCTGTTGCCTTGCTGATATAAAACTATGATTGTGTCGTCAGTGTGTTTTAGTTTAGCCTTTAATTCTGTGCTCATTCACAATGCTGTTCAAGCAGTGTTGGGGAAAGTTACTTTTAAAAGTAATGAATTAGAACATCGTGTTACTCCCTAAAAAAAAGAACTAATTACATTGCTTAGTTCATTTTTAATGGCAAGTGATGTGTTACGTTACTTTTTAAATCTGGGTGAGGCTTGCCTGTTTGATTTTAATATAAAAAGTTCCATTTTTGGCAAATGTAAAAAGCCCTTTCACATCAAAAGTTAAATGAAGAGAGGGCACAGTAGAGGGCAGTAGAGGGCACAGCTCAATCAAACCTTCTAGTTGTGTTGCTATTCTGGATTGCATGAAGAATAGGATGCAGGAGAAGAAAGTTTTTTGCTTATTAGTGTGGTTGAATTGGATCACCGTAGGTCAGCAGAAAAGACATTGGACATTGGTTAATAAAATGGGATTAAATACTTAAAGGCAGGGTATGTGATTTTTCAAAAACACTTTAGAAAACTGATTCGGGCCGAATAGCAAAACAAACTTGTAGCCAATCAGCAATAAGGGGCGTGTCTACTTGTGATGTGGAGGAGAGCGCGTTCAGTGCATGGGACGGACATTAGCCGAGCCGAGCGACAGAAAGATAGAGATGGCGGATAAAAAACAAAAGAGGAAAACGTCTGCGGAACGATAAGGCAAGAAGTAGGACCCGTGTAAATATCGGATCAGCTTTTCAGCGCTGGAGAGAACTCAAGGAGCGGAGGCCTGTGATCGGACGCCGAGGTTGCTTTGTTTCTTCTCAATAGGTGAGTAACAACGTGTGTCTACAACAGCTAAAGTCTGCCTACACTGGACGCGATCAAACGACCGTTGAAAACCATTTGAAATTTGTGTCAGCACGTCATAAATAGAACCCGGCAGCAGTTTTCTGTCGGGGATTTGTTGCGCCGCGCCGCTCACGTCCGTAGACACGGTGTAACATTGGTTTTGCTTTGTTTCACAGAACTAATCGTTGCCTGGGTTGCGTACGTATATGTGGGGCGGAGCTATCAAAATAGGGGCAAGACCCTTTTGGGGTAGGGGCGTGTTTGTTTTGGTGATTTCAAATATCAACATTGGCTACCAGAAATCACTTACTCTGCCTTTAAAGGATATTTGTGTTATTTAATGTATTTAATAATTGCTGGTTTATGTCATATTTAGAGTTTGCGTGTCACAGGTTTTATTCATTTTGAGTAATACTGAATCTGTTTTTGTGCAAGTGAGATGAGTAAATGCATGTTCACATTTAGTCCAGAACTACAGTAACATCATGTCCACACAACACCTCTGCACTTACTCCCGATTTCTCTCAACATGGGGAGAGTCAGTCAATAAATGGGAAAACAAAGTAACTTGCATTACTTACTTAAAAAAGTAACTCAAACATTTTATCGTAAATTAAAAAGTAATGCCTTACTTTATTAGTTACTTGAAAAAGTAATCTGATTACATAACTCGCGTTACTTGTAATGTTATCCCCAACACTGCATTCAAGTCCCCACAACTTACTAGTGATATAGTTAGCAGGATACTGTACATAGTTACACAGAAGAAAAAAAAAGGTACAAAAGCTGGAATGCTACCCTTTCAAAAGGTACTAATATGCACACTTTAGTGGTAAATAAGATACAAAGCTGTACCTTTGGAAAACCCGCCCCAGTGAGAGTGTGCATTAATTAATGACATTTATTGTAAATTGATAAATGGAAGTTTTCTGTTTAGTGTGTAATGCACAAAGTTACAAAATAAAACTGTTTTAATTGTAAATGCACATTTGCACATTTGTCCCCATTCATCAGCTTTACATTTGAATCCGTTTTATAGAATTTTTTTTTTTTGAAATGCTTAGACTGCCTATGTTTTTTCTCTCTCTAGAATTCTTGATGTATTTCTGTAAATTCTTGTTTTTGTCCTTCCTTTAGAACTCAAATATAATTCTTTATTTGATATCATTTGTTTATGTCTTTATCATGTAGGCAAACTCTTTTCAGAAAGCTGTCGGTTTGCTGAAACTGCCTTTGGTCGTGTCATGCGTCAGTCACCTACTGCCTGGTTTCTTCGACATGTTATCCAGGGTGGAGCGTTACAACTTCCCGAGCACTCAGATTTACGTGTCCATTGTAAGGTCAGGGAAGCCATCACTTCCTTGTTTTTTTGTTTTGTTTTTTTGCTTTCGTTCACCATTCGTTCACTTACTATTTATTCACTTCCTGTCTAAGTCTGCTGTGAGCTAAGCTGTATTTCCTTTCAGTGCAGCAGGAAGCACGTTTTACATGCTTCATTTGATTGCCTTTAAAGCAATGCTTTAAATATTTGCTGCTCACTCTAGTGTGACATTTTAATTTAGCATGACTCTTATCTTGAGAACTACCCCAAAGCTTTCAGAGACATTTGTCTGTTTCAGTAGTGAGAAAGTCGTCCAACCAAAGCATTAAGTTGCATCATTTACTATATGTGTATATTACACAAGCGGTTATTTTTATTTAGTTTAATATTATGTAATTCATACAGACGGTGATTTGAACTACTACCGGTCAAAAGTTTGTGATCAGAACGATTTTTAATGTTTTTTACAGGAGTTTCTTATGCTCATCAAGGCTGCATTTATTTGATCAAAAATACAGGGAAAAAATGTAATATTGTGAAATATCATTATGATGTAAAATAACGTTTTTCTATTTTAATATACATTAAAATCTAATTTATTCCTGTGATGCAAAGCTGAATTTTCAGCATCATTCTTCAGAAATCATTCTAATATGCTGATTTATTATCAGTGCTGGAAACTGTTGTGCTGCTTAATTGTGTTTTTTTTTTTTTGAATCTGTGATAATTTTTTCAGGATTCTTTGATGAATAAAAACTTAAAAATAAGAGCATTTATTTAAAATAAAAATCTTTTCTAACAATATACACTACCGTTCAAAAGTTTGGGGTCAGTACATTTTTATTCTTTCTTTTTTTGAAAGAAATGAAAACTTTTATTCAGCAAGGATGTGTTGATTTATATTGTTAGAAAATATTTATATTTTGAATAAATGCTGTTCTTTTTAACATTTTATTCATCAAAGAATCCTGAAAAAAGTATCACAGTTTAAAAAAAAAAATATTTGGCAGCACAACTGTTGC